ATCATGCTGATTTTCGAACTTGACCTGAATATTATGAATATTCATCAGTTCTGTAAGTTTCAAGTCAAAACGTAAAAACCGTTTTCTACTTATCGTGTTTACGGTAAAAGTGCACGCCAACGGCAACGGCAACGGCGACGACAGACGCAGGTGACGGCTATATGTACAGACACATCTGTGTCTGTACATAAAAATGACATAACTGAGTTTGACATAATAAAATAATAGTTTACGTTTTCCAACTAATTTTCCACTTAAGTGTTTTACATCAAGCTGCACATTCTCCCAGTTATATAAAGTTAAAAATTAAAGTCTTTACCTGTCATAGGGGGTGTAACCATTCTGTTGTAGAAAATCATCCTTGAGAATCTTAGCAATTTCCAATGTAATTTTATCTGCCTCAGCAAGGGAGCCCTAAAATCAATACATCATACAATAAATAGAGGAAACCCCCATTGAAGGGATGACTAGTGTTATGTTCATACAACATTTCATCCTAAGCTTTAAGACAAACAATGGTGAACAACAAGCTCAACAACTATTTTGAATTAGATGACATTCTGGAATACAGTGTTATGCTATCAACAATCATGTAGATAAAAACCAGAAATGTTACATAATACCAACTGTTATAATATCAACTATTAGATAACATTTTGTAGTGGAATCTCAGTCGATGCTCTTACCTTGCCCACCAGCTGTACAATTTCTGATAGATCTTCTTCCTCTTGTAAAATTTCCTTTGTCTGAAATAAGAACATTAAATGAGAACAAATTATTTATAAAACAATCAGATCCATCTCTCACACACATAGATTTTGCTCAATTTTGATGACCAATATTTGACAACTTTACATAGCAGACATTAGGTTATCAGTCTGTACAGTTAACATGTCGACATTTCAGGACATTGAGTCTTGACTGACCACTGTGGTCAGCTATGTCCAGCTCTATGCTGGTTGTAAAATGATCATTACATTTAAAAAAAAAACAGTCATGACAGTTTACCTTAGTCCTCAAGGGGGTAAACTCGGGGAAAGCTTTCTCATAGTAATCATCCAGAGCTCTCATGTATTTACTGTAACTGATCAGCCAGTTAATGGAGGGGAAATGTTTCCTCTGGGCAAGCTTTTTGTCCAATCCCCAAAATACCTGAACGATACCCAGAGTGGCCGAGGTGACAGGATCTGAGAAATCACCACCAGGGGGAGACACACTGCAAGATAATACCAATTTGTGAATTGATTATGAATATGAATATCAAATGATACTAAACATCAATTTAAATTTCTAGGAACTGAAGTATTGTATTGTAAAGGCATTAAATTGAAATGTAATTGAAATCAAAACCTGCTCTGAACTTGATCAAAATTATGACCTCATCAGTACTGAGGCAAAATAATTCTACATAAACACATGATCCGCTTGTCAAAAAGCCCCATGCATACCATCGATACTTACGCCCCCACAATACTGACGCTTCCCTCTCGGCTTGGGTTCCCAATGCACTTCACGCGGCCAGCACGCTCGTAGAAAGACGCCAGCCTAGCACCAAGGTATGCTGGGTAACCAGAATCAGCAGGCATTTCTGCCAGACGTCCTGAAATTTCTCTCAAGGCCTCGGCCCATCTGGATGTGGAGTCTGCCATCATGGAGACATTGTAGCCCATATCACGGAAATACTCAGACAAGGTGATACCTGAAAGACAGTGGGCATGTTTTTAATGTTAAAATACTACCAAAAAAATATTTTACTGTACTCTCAGATAGGCTAGCTACTTTAAAGCTGTTGTAAGAACATAACTATACATTTTATGCAAGCACTTTACTATAGAAAAAAAGGTTTTCTACTAATCAAAATGTGTGGACAAATGTGTGCATGTTTAAATACCATGAAACAGCCAATTTCTAACACAAAACTCAATGAAGTACCCAAAATTCTCCTGTTCAATAATCTGTTGGCTCAAGGTTACCTGTGTAGATAGAAGCCTCCCTAGCAGCCACAGGCATGTTGGAAGTGTTAGCCACCAGTGAAGTTCTCCTCATAATAGACTCCTCTTTTCCTCCGATCTCCACCGTCAGCTCTGGGAAATCCCTCAATACCTCAGACATTTCGTTGCCACGCTCTCCACAGCCTACGTAGATGATCACATCGCTGTTGGAGAATTTGGACAGTGACTGGGAGATGACAGTTTTGCCACAACCGAAAGCACCTGGAATGGCTGTGGTACCCCCCTGGACGCAGCTGGAAATATGGAGAAGTTTCTCATAAAGAAATCTCAAAGAATTTGACAATAAACTAGGCCAGTAATCAGACAGTCAGGCATGATTTATCTATTTTTAAACGCCCTTGATACTTTTGATAGAAATTTCAACTTTGGTGCTAAGTTTGACTGCGCTCAATACACTACACAGAAACACATTTGATTATTTTAGTTGTTTATAATTTACACAGAAAAAATCATAACACGATGTTATACAGGTAAATGTGACGAAACCGATGTTTTAAGTGCTTACATATCAACACACTGATAGTGACACCAGAAATACTATAACAGTCCTAATTGTGAGGTGTGACATGTAGGTGTAACATAGCACATTGCACATCCACATCAAGATGCATTTCTTATCAAGTCACAGTGACTTCGCAAAATTGAACAAACATACGGGAAAAGAGCATCCAGCACTCTCTGTCCAGTGAGTAGGGGGTGGTTAGCGGCCAGTTTGTCTGCCACTGGTCTCATCTGACGAACAGGCCACACCTGTAACATGGTGTACTGCGACTTCTCTCCATCAAACTCCGTCTCCAAGATCACGTCCTGTAGATGGCACAAAATGTAGACACGTTAGTGAACAAAAATTGCTATAAGAACTATGGGAGACATTTCTGCTATCATTTTGGGTAAAATTCCAGTCACGTGTAATTCTGCAATTCAATGAAGGATTGGAAACCGCATCTTATTTGTTGTATTTCATTTAAAAAATCTCATCATCTTGCAAGTTCTGTCAAAACATTGAAACTGGAACAGATAGGTCTTCCATAAAGAAAACTTACAAATCAAACATGGTATTTTTGAAAATGATCTTATTTTCCCTCAAAACAAGGTGAAATCCCTGCCCAAATACTTACATTGACAGTGTAATTGCCTGGGTCTGCCATCCATGTGACTGTGCCTCTGGCCTTGGGGGGCAACATGATCTTGTGTTTGATCAGGTTGTTCTCATAGACAACACCATACACATCACCTCCTGTAATGTGACTGCCAACCTGAAGATGTGAATTCAAAATAATAATCACTTCCTTTACTAATTTTCTATATATGTCTATGTTAATTGATCAATGCATACAAATAATGTTCTCTTTAAAACTACTTAAAAATTTAAAGTTATGATGCTCACTCATTTACTTACTCATTAAGGCATTCCCATTTTATAACACTTATCAAAATAAATTTTGGATTTAGATTATCACTCTACTTGAAAATCTTCGTTATCTAGCAACCTTTTTCACATCTGTCTAACTCAAGGTTAGACAAGAGGTTTGGTGTCTTACCCTGATTAACTCAAGTTGAGACAGAAGCTTAGTTTCTTAATACCCTGATAAATTCAGTTAGGCAGTTTCTTACCCTGATGAACTGAGGTTCAAACTCCCACTGAATGCCTCTGTCAAGAGCGGGCGTGTTCACACCTTTTGGAATGTAGATACTCTGTGTGAGTTCATTAATGTCCTTCAGAGGGCGCTGGATACCTGAGGAGAAAAGGACACAGTTGGTATAGTGTGATCACGTGTCACACTGTACAGCATTCACTCATCAATATAAAATGAAACCTCTAGTTCTGATACACAACATTATTTTTCATAATATTTTCAAGACAAAACAAAACTATTGCATTATTATTCAACTTACAAAGACACAATTAGTTTGGCACAAAAAGCCCTATATTCTGGGAACCATGAGTGACCATGATGACAGCTGTGATATAGCAAATGTGTTAATTGTGAAAACATGACCACAACACTGACAATCAAATATACTGATGATAGCTGTGACACAGCAAATGTGTTAGGTGTGAAAGCATGACCACAATACTGACCATCAAAGATACTGCCCATGATACCTGGTCCCAGTTCCACAGAGAGAGGCTTTCCTGTCCTCATCACTGGGTCCCCCACTGTGACACCCGCTGGAGAGAGACTTAAGGACAGGTAACACAATACAGGTGACACAGCACAGGTAACACAGTAGAGGTGACACAAAGTCAGCAATGGCCAAATACCCCCCTCCCCTTTCTGTCATCCCCGATACTCCAATTATATTTGTAGTTAACTTTAATATTACACTTGGGCCTTTTCGACCTGAAAAATTACCATTTGCTGGAAAAGCATATAAATAACGATTTTTATTCCCAAAAATAAGATAATTTCTAAAATGAGTACTTGAACATTGTACAAAAAAAAAAAAAAAAAAAAAAATAATAATAATAATAATAATAATAAATAAATAAAACATACAGCAAATTTCTGGACAATGGTGTTGCCATTTGAGCTGTCAGATAAATCCCCCCTCCCTTCCCTGTTGAGAAAGGATACATGTGTCTTCGTAGACTTGGATGGTCGCCATGTCTCCCTCCAGACGAATGATCTCCCCGACCAGTTCATCGTGTCCCACTCTCACCAGCTCGTACATAGCAGCTCCAGACATGTGCTGGGCTGTTACCACTGCAAGGACACAAAGACAAACATTGGGTTATACTGTATCACATTAGGTATAACATTATATTACATCATATATACCATTACATTATACTACATGACATTACATGACAACACAGTACTAGTATCTCAGATTTTAATATAATATAAACATATAAAGTATCTCTAAATAATATAAATAATAATAATAATATCTAATACATGTCCTTTTGGAATATATCTCAACTCATGGCAAAATTAGTTCTTGCAATTCTATAAACCATATAGAAATTGCTCATTTGGAAAAGAAAATTCTCCTTAGTGGTTATCATCTTGTCAGCTGCTGCCCTCTATACAGACTTTACGAAAGGCGTCGGACCGTCGGACATGCCTGGCAAATTTCGTCTCGGTCCGATAAAAAATCCTGTATCGTCGGACCTTCTGTCCGGCGAGTTTTCAAACTGACTGGAAATGTGTAAATATAAGGAATACATTGTTGTTTCTTTTCTGGACGATATATTTTACTTCATTCGAAAAGAGAGGCGGGGTGAAAATCTCGGGGAGTTCCCAACTAATTATACATAATTCACAAATACTATTTTGTGACTGGCTGAGGTTGGGGGATTCCTGGATGATGTAATGTACAGTCTCGTTTTCGTTTTTGTAATACCCCTACTCCCCTGCATGACAAAATGGCCGCAACACATGTGCTCGTGCTATTTGCGTTTCTACAGCCTTGATCCTCTGTTTCTTCATTATCAGTCGTACACAATACTCATGGATAAGCCTTTTGTTTAGAAAATGACGTTGTTGAACTTTAAACACTTCGTTGGTGCAAAGCGTGGCAAAAATGAAAACGAAGTGAGGAAGAGAAACGGAAGTTTACTAAAATTGGAAAGAAGGTAGGCCCTGGCGGACTTATGATCTTTAAGAGAGGAAAATATGTGTGACAAGTGTCAGGAGTACTAAAGTTATCATTTTGATCAATAGCAACATAAATGTTACAGCTTTATTACCGGTTCTTAAATTATGGAACGTATGTACGTATTTGCATGTACCGTTCACCACGAGTTGGAGAAATTGCACATGAACTTGAGGAAAGCTCACAGTTTGAGTTTCTTTTTATAAAAAAAGAAATAAAATGAAGAAGGAACTTAGACTCGGGCTGGACAGTCCCTGTCAAAGCTTCAATTGGATGAAAGAGACTGCCTTACTGTGCTGTTTCAAAATGCATATGTTATTGCCAAAAACAACGTGTGAAATGGTTATCTGGTTAACAGACGTTTTTATGGACATACATTTGATATTACTGACTACACATTCTTCATACTTGTATTAGTCTTAGTCCATGTGTCATTCCACAATGTCTTTTTCATTATGCAAGTAATGTTATGTTATGCAAGTAATTTTTTTCTTTCTTATTTTACTTTTTTACAAATAAATATATATCAAAAATTTGATATTTGATTTAATGTCAATTATGATTTAAAATGTTAGAAAATACAAATGAAAACATGAATAATGGTTCATATTTCTATTATTTTACTTCGGTCTGACAAATTTTGTTTCGGTCTGACAGAATTTTCAAGCTTGTCAGACCGAATGTCTGACAGATTTTTTGGCCTTTCGTAAAGTCTGTCTATAGGCAAAATATCTCACCAGGTCCAGAGACGGCAAACACGGTCCCTATCATGGACTCCTTGTCTGCATCCTGGAGCTTTGGCAGCTTTTGCGTTCTTTCCATTCCACCAGCCTAAGAAAAAAAAAAAAAAACAGAGATGAGTATATGGTACTATGAGTAATGGTCAGCTGGTCATTTTTTAGTAACATACAATTACTGATATACTGTACATATAAAAAGTATGTTACTTATATCAAATCGCAAAAATGTAAGCTATGGTTCAGTGATTAAGGCAACTTTTTCAATTTGACAATGAATGAATGAACAGAATGAATGAATGAACAAAAATAAATAAATAAATAAATAAATAAATGATAATGAATGTTTGTGACAATGCAACTGATAAACGAACATATATAACTTCAGATAAGGCAGTCAACAGGAACTGAAACTAGATCTGTCTAGCTGTATATATGATAAAAGTATTACCTCCCCCCCCCCCACTCCCCCAGCACCCTCATTATAATAAATATTGCTATTTCATCTATCTACACAACATGTACCCGTTAATACCAACTCTCATGATCTTCATATTATCAACTTCAAATGTCATAAATCTACCGTATTCTACAATGACAGTTTACACAAACAATGTCACATGTACCAACCATGGCTGTCAGGCAATAACCATAAATAAATTATTACAAAAAACACTGAGCAAAAGAACTGGGGTGAATTACTGGCATAAAACTCCCCATGAAATAAATTTTCATGCCGTAGCCACTTTTTCATTTTTTTTTTTTTTTTGAAAAAGCAGATCTTTTACCAGATACCTTTTGTGTACCTAAATCAAGTTTACCTAAGCCAGGCCTTTCCCTGTCAAAAAGGGTGGTTTGTTTGAAACCCCTTAGCCCTTGATATGGGTATGATTTTGATCAATTTTTTCATACTTTTTCCTTCATGCCCTACATAAATGTTTCATCAATTACCCAAATTACTGTATTCAATCATATTTTCAGACAAGTTGCTGAATTTTTCTTGTGCTGTGATTTATTTCATATTTTATGTACTTGTAACTTAACTGAAATGGAGTTAAAATATTATCTACATAGTTAACAAAAACCATGCATATGGTTGCTGGGGCACTGTACAGTACAACATACAAATTAAGAATCCAAAATAACCATCTGATAAACAACTAAGAATTATAATACACCTGCTGGCATTAAAGTGAGGATAATAATATAAACTAAAACATACTGAAGGTGTCGAAACTTGTCATTTACCTGCATGTGCATTTAAAGAAATTCCAGAAAATATTTGCTACAAGAAGTACTTAATATTGGCACTTATTCACTTTATTTGGCATATCCCATCCCCTCTTCTCGAAGAGTGGGGTAAACAATCAAACAAACATATGCAACATACTCTATACCATGCTAGTAATGCTAATGTGATGAAGACTTCACTTTAATTTTAAAGACCTCAGAGAAAAGTCATGACTTGAGGGGAAACGGTACCAGTACGTCTGCCTGTTATTGTGTTAATTCCACACCAAATAGCAGTCTAATTAGCACATATATTGAAAAAGCTCAAAAGACCATTTAGTAATATCAAATAAAAAAGAAGATCTCTCCTTTCGATGGAAATTAAAGGAATATCGATCTAATAGTTGGTCTCGTGACCGACCATGACCAAGGATGACAAGCCGGTGAAATCGACAAGCCCTCGGTCTATCCAGTTTTTCTCAAATTCAACGGAATAACAGTGCTGTTTTTCCTACATATAATTTCTACAAGTATAACGCTTACTTATGCACGACTCTGACAGAAAACCGTAACTGAGTTTTGCTTAATTTTAAAGAACAATCTACCTAAACAGTTCCACACTCACCATCTTTCAGAAGGTCATATGATTTCGAGGTCAGTCTCGCGCAATGACGTATGTCCGGTTTAATTTTTATTTCCGGTTTGAAATAAGCATGATGTGTCGCTAAATGAATCTCCCAAGAAAAACTGTACAAGAACAAGACAATGAGCACAGCAATAACAATATTAGGTAAGCAGTAATATTGGGAGCATAAGGAAATATTCGTTAGATATTCCATTGGCTAGTGTAACCGTTTTTAAAAGCACCGGTTTGCAGGTTACATGAAAGCTGTACATAAGCAGCTCATTTTAATTATAATATATCCGCCTGACGCATATTCGCCATATGTTAACTTGGCAGTCGAAATTCGCAAAGTCTGTACTTCGGTTTACTTTGATAACTTTATATTTGAAAAATTTAGGATCACTTTCAAATGTTTTTTGAATGTATGTATTTTTTAACAGCTTAGAATAGAACTTTTCCCACAACCATATAAAAGAACACGTTGATTTTAATCGTAATGGTCATCAAAGTTAAGTTATTTGGGGGCTGATCAATGTCTTTGCCATTCATATTAATTAGTTTAGTGCCAGTACTGGTGTATGTCAACTTCAAATATATAACTACAAGATAACAGTCTGTGATGTTAGCCTCTGGTCCTACGCCCACAGCAAGTAAAAATTTGTTTGGACCAGGAGAGTTTTCAGAAAGTGTGAATTTAGTGGTCCAACATGGCCATTAGATTTTCAAAGTTTTCAAAAAAGCCTTTGAGTTGATAAAATCTCTCATGAAACGTAACTGTTACATGATGACTGTAAATAAAAAATAAAGAAATCAAAATTTGAAAAAATGAAATTTCGATAAAATCAAGCTCTTCTTATTAC